AAATTACACAGAAATCACGAAGAAATGTTTCTTGGTAAATGTCAAAATTAGATCATGATGTGATTCTCATGAGAACAAGGGCGTAGAAGCCTAGAAGGGTATATGGGACTAAAATAAAAGATAAATGATAAGTAACCACATGATTCTTATGCCTATGTGAATACCATTTGTGGATTAAGTTCAACAAAAATTGGTGCATTATACTAAAATTCTAAACCTCTGTCTTGCTCATAAAATAGTCATTGACTCGTTCATGTCACGGAATGTATTTTTAATAACGTGATACCGTCTGCTGAGTTACAGAAATGATCTTTGAACTTTTCTACGCGTGAACGATACTCTGAACCTTTTTGAGAATGAATTTACTATAATTTGCTCACTTACATCTTCACATGCTACAACAAAAAATAGAGTAATTAATCAAAAATAATATTTTTGGGGGTGGGGGTGAGTGGGGCGGGGTGGGGGCTGTTGTTTGAGGTGGGGTGGGGTTATTCTTCGGGACAATTTGGAATCAAGTGGGACACTTGTCACATTGGAATAATTTTAGCTCATTGGGACAATTAAAATGGGATAAAATAGCATAAATTGGGATAATGAAACAAGTTAGAAGCAGTAGTGAGACAATTGAGTGGGATAATTGATGGCATGGTACATTATTAAAATATTTATTTATTAATTAATCTAAATTAATTTATACAATTTTTGTAATATAACATGTAATATGTTATAATAATAATATAATTTGTTTTTAAAATTATAGCAGTAATATAATTAAAATTATTATAATATGTTATTTTATTTATAAAAGCACAATATACCAGAATATTTATAATCACTACATTTTTGTTATAAGCATACTTATATAATATTAATTATATATTATATTAATAATAAATATAATATAATGTAATAATATATTATATTAAATTAATTTAATTTAATTTAATACTGTTGATATTAATTATCAAACAGAAGTTTATCTAAGAGTTTGTGGAGAGATTAGGGTCCTCTAACTCCTTCTGATGAATGGTTCTGGGGCTTGCTCTTCTTCCATGCACATGAAAGAACTTGTAAGAGAGCGGAGTTGGGTTCTTCGATTGTTCATCCGACGATCAAGTTAGTAGGAGATCTTGAGTGGTGAATTATAAAGTTTGCTCTTAGTTACGTAAAAAAGACCAGAGAGAGTTACCTCATGCAGTGCCGCTCTTTTTATGGTGGATCTGAGTGGCGAGAAAGTAAGTTGGACCGAGTCCAGCTAGGCAGCTAAGTCGGCAGACATGTGCTACGTGTTGGTTACTAAAGGAAATGAGCCACCTGGTCATTTATTGTGGGAATAATAACAGGTGTTTGGTGCTAACTGGGTTCGATGAGTCATAAAGGCTATGGGGGCTAAAGCAATGATGGTGTTGTCAATGTAGTTAATGCGAGAATAGTTGGCTAGCAAGGGGTTCAAGATAACTATAGATATCATTTTTTGACTCCTCATGTCCAGGACCGAGAAGTATCGTCTTTTGACTCGGCTACGCGAGATTTCGGCTGAACAGTGGGCAGAGTCGGCTCACTTGTGGAATCAATTGAGGGGTTGGCTGAGTAGTACTGGCTTTTAACTTGATTACGTGAGATGTTGGCCAAATCAAGATGGCTGTGTTGAGGCGAAAGTTATCTTGGTCTTGAATTAGTCAGGTTAGGTATAGTGTAAAATATGTGTCGACTTCTCTGTGGAGATTAATATTTAGTATTTTTAGGGGGTATAACAAATATATAAAAATATCATGTTATAACATCATATTATATTATATTATATTCTTACAATATAACATAATTAATATTATAAATACCAAAATATATTAACAATATATTTAATATTAATTTAATATAATATATTAAAATAACATACTAGAACAATATATTATATTAATATTATAGTGTTGCTGTATTTTTATTATAAGTGTTTAATAATATTAATCAATATCATATAATATATTATAATATGATATTCTAACGTCACATTATATTTTATCATATTGTTACTATATTTTTGTTTCAAGTTTGTTTAATACTATTAAGCAACATATTATATTATATTATATTATATTATATTTTAATAAATTAGTTTAATATAATCTATCATAATTTTATTTCATATATTATATAATATTATATCATATCCTCATGATATTATATGATATAATATATTAACACAATATATTTAATGCTACTAATAGTATATTATATTATATTATAGTCTAATATAATATAATATATTGAGTATATTATTATATAATAATATTATATATCATTTTATATATTTATATATAATTAGCATGTATTAGTTATTAAATATAAGTAGGTTTTAAAATTATCCTATTTGCCTTTAAAGTTGAACATTATTTTTCCACTGTACAGATGGGATAAATTTTTGGCATTGGGGTAAAATTTTGGATATGGAGGAATAATTTTATTCCAAGTGGGGAAATTATCTCACTAATGTTCCAACAAACCAATAACATAGAAAGTTAATGCCCTAATATCATTACCTCAACTGAAAATACCAAACATTAAAAAACATTAAAGTGTTAGTCCCACTACCCTAATGAATAACACCAAAAAGTGATATCCCACCCCCATTTCCCCTAAATTACACAATTGAATAAACCCCCAAGTGATAGGAGCATTTGTCCCTAGGGGGGTTTATTGGTTGAGGATTGTTGATTATGATTAGGATTTTTTCTAGGACTTAACTTTTAGGTGTTATTGGTTTTAAGATTAGGATTCCGATTTAACGTTATAGTGTTATTGGTTTTTGGACTATTCGGAATTTACTTTATAGTATTATTGATTTTCTAGGATTATGATTTAACTCTATACATTCTAGTGAAGAAATCCATGGAAAAAGTCTAACCTTAAAATTGGAGGATTATCATCTCACTCTGAGGACTTTCTCTCTCCCCTTCTTAATTGGTTCCACATTTAAGAAAAACACTCCTTATTCTAGTCATAATTAATATTTGATATTATTTAGTTAATCAATATTATTCAATTATTTAATCTATTTCATACAAATATTTAATATATCTAATATACATTTTTAATGAAATTACTTAATTATATTTAATACATTTAAAATGAAATATATTTAATATTTAATAAATTTTATTTTTAAAGTATTAAAATATTAATTATTTGACATATCTTAAATATATAAAAGAACTAAAATTTTATGATTATATATATATAATATTCATTTAAATATTAGATAAACAATATAATAAATATGTAGTATTAGATATAATTTATGTTTAAAATATAAATAATAAAATATGAAACTTTAAACTGTTTAATATGTATTATAATAGTTACTAAAATATATATTTTAACTATTATAACATTCTAAATATTAAATATATCTACTTATTTTACTTTGAATATCAAACATATTCAATTTTCAATATATTTAATTAATATATATATATGTTTATTTATATTTATATTTAATTTTATACTAAAATTTTTAATTATTGTAAATATTTTCATATTAATACATGTAATATAGTTAATTTAAATATTAATGCATGTAATATCACATATTATTTAGTTTTAATAGTATTTAATATTTAATTCTAATGGTATTTAATATTTAATTTTGCCTTTATTTAAATTTAATTATTAATTAAATATATTTTAGATGAAATATATTTATTTAAATTTTTTTATTTAAATTTTTTCAAATATATTTAATGCATATAAAATGAATATAAAATGAATATAATGAATAATATTTTAATAGTTTACTATTTTCTTATTATGTATAAAATTAACTATATTTCTTAGAATATACATATAATATTTAACTAATTATTAAATATTATATATATAATATTTATTTAAATATTAAATAAAATATAGGACATACATAATATTAATATGATTAATATTCAAATTTAATAATATTAATATTTTTTAAGGTAAACATAATTATTAATATTTAATATACCAAATACGAAATATAATATTTACTCTGAAAATCAAACACCCAATTTGATAATCCAGCTAAAAAGTTCAAAAATGCTACCAAAAAGTACAAAATTCTAACAAAAAACTCTTGTCCTAATCTGAACCAAAAATTAGGATTTTTGGACAACAATCCTAGTCCTATCAAATAATTCCAAACCAACAACATACACCCTTCTCCTCCCCCTAAATTTTTTTAGGGCTTTGAAATTTATGCGATGCATCAGTGCTATATTTAAGATTCATGTCATAGATATGCATCACATGTTAGCGTAAATTTCTATATAAAATCAATAGATAATAAAGTTGGTGGACATAAAGAACCTATCAATTAAGTCTACAATAACTTTGTTTTCGAGAACATATCTCTAAGAGTACTATATTTTTTTTTATTACTTCGCTAGATCTAAAACCACTACGACCCAAACTTTGCATGTTTGGTTGGCTAAAAAATCAATGAAATATATTATAGGAAACTTATTTTATATAATAGTCTTTTTGTCTTTTGTTTGGTTCAGTTCTTAAAACTAAGAAAAGAGATGATAGGAGATGAGTTGTCACCAAACTTATTTCATGATATTTTTAGATGATTTCCTTCTCATATTTCTTTTTTTCTTTGATTCTATTTCTAGGAAATCGCACGTGTCCTTTTTTTTTCCTCCTCTTTGATTATATTTCTAGGAAATCCGCTAAACAAGCCGTTATTGGATCCAGGATTGAATCTAAACTCAAAGGCGTGCCCTCTGGTGGGGCCCAAGAGCACCCACGTGCTCTTTAACACGAATCCCTCCCACTGTATCAGAATCACACCCTGAAGTCATCTCGACGCCCCTCAAATAATTAATTCACTGCTCTGGTGGCACATAGAAACTTCACGCTAGGGCCCCACTTACTGTCACCAGTGCTATGTGGGTCCCACACGATAACTCTGTCCCCTTTCCTGGGTGCTCCCCTCCTCCGATCACTCGT